GAGGAGGGGATGATAATAGAATTTAAATTCTGAACACCAGGTTTGCAGAGGGTTATGGATAATAAAATTCATGTGCAGGGTCCTCATGCTTTGTAAATCTCTGATTAGTCAGTCCCCTCTGGCCATAGTACAGGTATTTGAATAGTCTTGCTATCAGAGTGTATTGTAAAGTGGATTATGGCAGCTGTGGCTAGGTTAAAATGTAATGCCTGATCATTTGATCTCCCCTTTGGCCCATTTAAATGTTTTTTCCAGTTTTTAATATATTTTGATGTTTTTTCATTGAAGTTTTTATTTGTTTTTATTTTGTCATTGATGTTGGAATTTTTAATTGTTGTTTTGTATGCTTTTATGTTTATAAAGTCCAGGGTAGGTAAAACCTATAGGGACAGTAAATGGATTAATAATTATCTAGGGACATAGTGGAGGAGGTTGGAGGTGAATGGGGAGTTAATATCAATTAATAGAAGAATTTTTTAATGTTCTAAAATTGATGTTGGTTATGATTATACAACTCTTAATGTGCATGAGCTATTAAATTTCGTGATATGTGGATTATATGTAAATAAAACTCTTTTTTCATAAAAAGGTATGAACCAGGCCCCACAGCTGGGAAACGGGCCCAATCTTGTGAAGCACCCCTGACTTCCTTTTGCACCTGAAGCAGTGAAGCAAGTGAGGCCCACCAGCTTAGAGCAGGACTTAGGGACCCAGGAAAGATAGAATATTACTTTACCTTTATATAGCTGTGTCCAGTGTGTTGCTACCTAAGAAATCAAGAAAATTGGATGCCCATTAGGAGTCCCTAAGTGGCACAAATGGCTAACATATTTAGTGACTAACCAAAAAGTTGGGGGTTAAAATCTACCTACGAGCCAGACGCTCAGAGGAAAGGCCTTAACAATGTGCTTTAGGAAAAAGCCACCATGGAAAGGCATGTGGGACACGTTTCTCCTCTGGCTCACATGCAGTTGGTGCGAGTGAGAATCTCCTCAACAGCAAGTGGTTTGGATTGACGTATGTTACCCACTTCACAGTAGGTCATTGATGCTCCAGGAGAGAACCTGATCCGAATTAGATCACACAGGTTGGCCAGATGTTCTGGAGCAGGCCCAGGACTTCCAATGTCTTCCTGGCTTTCTAGAGCTCTGACATGACTACGCCCTATTTGTGGGCAATGCTACTCGTTGAGGCCAAGCCATGAAGGTGGCCATCATCTCCAGCTGACTGACTCCTTCCGCACCATCTGCTCTGAATGTTTTCAGAGTGTGCTTCTAGACAAGCAGCACGAGCACCGGCATCATCTACGAACTTGTTGGAAATAAACATCCTTAGGCTCTAACCTGGACCTAGTGAATCAGAATCAGGGGTTGTAGGGACTTGCTGTAACAAATCTTCCAGGTGATTCTGCTGCATGTTCAAAGTCGACAGCCACCGCCCCATTCCAATGAAAAGGAAGGGTTGGGTTGGGTCAGAGGGTTATGGGCAAAGAGACCAAGTGACCGTCTGCCTGCCCTCCTTGGCTACGGTGGCATGTGCTCAGGCTGTGGGTTTGGTTCTGTTCCTATCTTTGCTGCTAGTTGGGGGCTTCTGACTTGACCCTTACCCCCTAGTGCCTTAAATGATCTCAATAATGTTGAAGACCCCAAAATACAACTGATGTTTCAAAGGACTTACATTTTTATGAATGTCACATTCAAGGGCTCAGGTCCCAAGTAAGTAGAATTGCCATCCTCCCGTCCTCATTTCCATTTTTATTTTTATCTGAGAGAGAAAGAGAGCTATTAATCAAGAGCTAAGAAAGCGGTCCACTAGACCTCTCACTCCCTACGCAGTCCGAGTCTAGCTGCTGTGTCACCGGCTGCTCGCAGCCTCATTCATTTACTCATCCTTTTAATCCAGAGCTCCCAAGCGAATTTGTCCTACTTTACCTTTTCAGGAAAAAAGAAATCACTCGGTGTCCCCCGACAATAACTTTTATATTACAGCCTATAATCCAGAATAAAGTGTAGGTATCTGCTCTTGCAGCCTGCTCCTCTGTTGTTCCCCAGTCCCCCAGGAGGGGGTGTTGCCCTCTGTGAGAAACGCTGCTTTAGCCTGGGATTCTCCCCAGCAGTGAAGAATCCTCTGTGAATTCCCCCTGGTTTGAAACTAGCCCAGGAACTACAAAGGCAGGGAGATCGCCTTCCATGTGCCATCCACCTTTACCAACCCCCCAGACCCGTTTAAATTCTGTGAGAAAGGGTCCTGGAGGGCTTCTTCATGTGTTTTATCCATGGAGCCCCCAAGGCTGCACTGCTTGGAGGAGTGACAATTTGACCAAGCCCCTTTAACGTCCTGACCTTTATCAGCCCCTGCGCAGAAAGGGCCCAAAGGTAGCTGTCGCCAGTGCCATGACTGCGCCCAGGCCTAGGCAGGATGGAACCTGTGGAGGGTGACTGCTGCCACAAGGAGCAGTGGGCCCCCCCTTTTCCAACAGTGGGAGACTCTGTAGCCTTCCCCTAAACGATGAATACATGCCACTCTCCCAAGGTGGAGAAATGGACACAGAAGGTGCAAAGGTGAGGACTGGTGTGTCATGGCCTCCTTGTAAAAGCTGGGCTATGGCCCCACGCCCTGCGAGGATCGCCTGGCTGGAGGGGAGGGTAAAGAATGGTCTCTGCTGTTTCCTCCCTCAGATCTGTGTTGGATCTGTCATCTGGGAAACCGTGGGAACAGCGAGAACACAGATAGGAAAAGAAACAAACAAACACTGAGTCCATCGCAACTCATAACCCACCCGCTGCCTTTGAGAAGATTCTGGTGCCTAGTAACCCTGCAGGACAGAGTGTCCAGGGTGTAAATCTTTATGAGAGCAGACTGCCTCCTCTTTCTCCCATAAAATGCCTGGGAGGTTGAACTTGGCAATGAGCAGCACAATGGCTAACCTACATCCCAAAGGCTCCTTAAGAAATCTAATAGACTCACTATGAGTCCTAACTGCCCCTGTGAGTTTCCAAGACTAACTTTTTATGGGAGTAGAAAGTCCCATCATTCTCTCAAGGAACTTCTGTTGGTTTTGAATGATGGAGTTTGAAGTTAGCAGCACACCGAAACCATCCAAGTTAGTGATGAAGAAACAAGAATTCTACCAACTTCTCTAGTCTCAATTGATCAAATATTGAAGGTGAGGGATAAAGGGGGAACAGATTACAAGGATCTACATATAACCTCCTCCCTGGGGGACGGACAGCAGAGAAGTGGGTGAAGGGAGACGTCGGGTGGTATAAGATATGACAAAATAAAAATAATTTATAAATTAGCAAGGATTCATGGGGAAGGGGGGAGCGGGGAGGGAGGGGGAAAATGAGGAGCTGATACCAAGGGCTCAAGTGGAAAGCAAATGTTTTGAGAATGATGATGGCAACATATGTACAAATGTGCCTGGCACAATATGGATGGATGTAGGGATTGTGATAAGAGTTGTACGAGCCCCCAATAAAATGATTTTAAAAAATTAAAAGAAATCTAATAGAAAAAAATGTGTGGGAGAAAGAAGCCTTGAATGGTTAAGTCGCCAATGACGTTTTCAAAATGAAATGGCGAGGTTGCCAACCATTAGGTACCCATTGCGCACAGCCAGTGGCTGGGTGGGAGAAGCTAAGAGCTGCTGATCTGCTCCAGCACGGAGTGTGGCCTAGGGAATCCCCGGGGAAGTTCTACTCCACCCCACCCGGCAGGGTCACTGGAGTCGGCATCAACTCGAGGGCACGCAGCAATAATGGTGAAAGAGATGCCCCAACCAGCCAACACCCGACCCACAGCCTTCTGGTTTCCGGACAGGACCCCACAGCCTCTCCCTCATGGGGACTGTCTGCCTTGACCCTGAGCCTTCAGTGTTTGTGTGGTTAAGGTCCTGATATTCAGACGAGTTCAGTGCTGAATGGACTTCTGCCCCGTTGAGCAATTACCATAACGGTCAGTGAGTAATCTCTGTACGCCTGCCTTTCATCACTGGTTCCCTGCGTGTACGATTTCTCCCTAGCTTCTCTGAGCTCGCAGCTCTGCTTACTCCAGGCAGACAGACTTTAATGAGGTTGCTAAAGCATCAGAAGCAGGCGACACCTTCTCTTTGCAGAGACTTTGCCCTGGGGTGGTCTCTGGACCTTCCTGGCCATGGTCTTATGGGGTCTTTTCTCTTTCTCAGAGGGGAGGTGGGGAGGAAGGTATATATCAAGTAGAAAACCAACTGAACTCCCTGCCACCAAGTTGATTCTGGCTCATAGTGGCCCTGTAGGACAGGGTAGAACTGCCCCTGTGGGTTTTCCACACTCTAGCTCTTCACTGGAGTAGGAAGCTCCCTCCTTCTCCCAGGGAGCGGCTGGTGGTTTCAAATTGCTGACCCCATGGGTAGCAGTAACCACTGTGCCACTAGGGCACGTGTCAAGCAGAGGCTGCTCCCCAATAGTTTGAAAGACCTCTTAGTGATTCCTATCGTGAAGCAGTCACTGTGTGAGATGTGCTACATCCATACTGTGACAATACCAGCTGGTGTGCGTTTACTTCGTGCCGAGAACACTAGCCAAGCTCTTGGCGTAGATGATCTCATCTTATCTTCATAAGAATTCAGTGAGGAGGGTACTGGAGTTCATCCCATTTTACAGATGAGATGGAGGGTCTAGAGTTAAAAGAATACTTTCCCCAAGGCAAAGATCTAACAAGGGGGGGCGGGGGCGGGGAAGCCAGGATTCATATCTGATTCCTGCCCCTGCCCCAGAGGCCTTTCTGTTTGGAGCCTAGATCGTAGACTGACACACCCCCTGGGCATGTGTGGGAAAGGCAGAGGTGCAGGCTGGATCCCCAGACCCACTGAATCAGAATCTGCCTTTCAAAAGACACCCGCAGGAATCCCCCAGGCATTTGAAATGTGGGGGCTGACCCAGTCTGTCTCCAGGAATGATAGCAAAATGATACCAGAACCTCTGTGGCATCTAGTATAGACTAGTTTCTAGCTGGGAAGCATGCGGTGGCGAGAGGTGAAGGGTGAGCCAGGGGTGACTGAGATGGAAGAGCCCAGGTCAGATTCTCCAACCACGGTGGGATGTAGTGCCGGTTTTCAACGCCATGCTCCTGGCTGTGTTCGGGGAGCTGCGACTCTCTCCTCCTCACTAGGGATGCTGGCGTCCCCTTGTCTCTCTGTGCCTCCTAGGGAGGACACGCTCTTGGGCCTGACTTGTTGCTTTCCCTTCTGTCCCCTCCCACAGACGTGCAGCACATTAAGAGGAGGGACATCGTGCTGAAGCGAGAACTGGGCGAGGGAGCCTTTGGGAAGGTCTTCCTAGCCGAGTGCTACAACCTCAGCCCGACCAAGGACAAGATGCTCGTGGCAGTGAAGGTAAACCTCTGAGGCATGTGTCTGCTGGGGAGAGGGCTGGCGAGGGACCAGATGGGCAAAGGAGAGGCTCACTCCCTGCTGGAAGATGATGCTTAAACTGGCGCCGTGGTCCGATGAAATCAGGGGACCTTGCTCTAAGATCAATAACTTCCTCTCTATCAAAAATGACTTCCCTTCCCTTTGGAGGTCAAGAGCTGGGAGCCTGAGGCAGAGCTAGACGACCAGAGACTCTGTGTGGAAATCCTTGTTGTATTTCGGGAAGTCTTGGGCTCACCTATCTCAGGGATGCTCTCCTTCCTGTGGCTCTTCAGGCTGTTTATATACCTGGAAAGTGACTGACCATATCTCAGAAGTAGAGCCTGGCAAAGAGGCGGCCACTCCTGGAGGCCCACAGGGCCCCTGGCTTGTATTTTGGGGAGCAGGAAAGAAGGAGTTTACTGCCGCCAGTTACCCTTCTCCAACCTCCCTATAGCCATGGTCAGCCTCTCCTGTCGATCTACATTGAAGGACTCTTTGGATGTGATTGACACATCCTAAGCACACCTAGGTCTTGGGAACTCTTCTTGGTAATCTGCTCCCTTGGGTGTAGCTTGCAGGTCTGAGGCCAGCGTGGGCTCAGCAAGTTGTACTTGGACATGGGCCAACCACAGGGCAAGGGGCAGGGATACTGTCCTGTACACGGTCCCTGACCCAGGCCTTAAAAGAACCCATCTTAAAAGAGCCTGGATGAGTGTCAACAATCTGTGTCACATTTTTGGGGACTGTCGGCCTATGTATTCACAGTGTGTGTGTCTGCAGGCCCTCTCTGTTCCGAGAAGGCTTACGACCACCATACTGGCAGGCAAGGGAGTATCATGTTATGGGAATAAGCCCGAGACTCATAGACCTTGCCTCTGAATCCTAGGTTCACCACTTACCACGCTGTTGACCTTGAACAAGAAGTGAGTCTTTGGGGATCTCAATTTCCTTATCTGGAAAATAGAGATGATCCTATCTCCTCCTTCTCTGAATGTTGGTGATTGATTCCATGTGCATATAAAATTCTTAGACTACCTCTAGGAACATAAGAAGTCCTGCGTAAATCAAAGCCGCTGTTTGTTTAGATCAGCATCATTATGGCAGATACAGGTCACTTTGACTCAGTTTAGACACATGCCACAGTCTCAAGCTGACATTGACTGTCTAGAATAGAAGGGGTCAGAGTGTTTTTCCCTTTAGAGAACCAGACAGAACTATTTTAGGCTTTGTGGATTGGATGTTCTCCACCGAAGCTACGCAACTGTGCCACAGTCAATACATACACAGGGGAGGGTGGCTGTGTTCCAACAAAGCTTTTTTAAAATAGAAAAACAAGCAGAGTTTAACCAACCACTGTTCCAGAAAATTATAAGGAACCAGAGTATGAGCACCATGAAAGGCTGGTGGTAATTCTTCCTGAACATCCCGAGAGTCTGCTTGCTCATTGTGCCTCCATGCAGGGGTGAGGACCTTGGTCCAGGGAGGTGGACAGTTTTCTAATAATGTCCCTACACTCTGAATCGGTGCTTGAATCGGCCCTGGCTTGGTGCTTTTAGTTTTTCAGATGTCAGTAATCCACTAGGTGTCCCAGCATCTGTCTGCAGGCTCGTGAGGAAACAGACAATGTGTACACTTGGAGCAGGAAATGAAATGATGGATTAAAACCCTGGAAAATGTGTCCCTCGGAGGGTCCAGCATCAAGGGGGAGCTCCCAGCATGAGTCATGCAGAAAATGAGTCTTTGTTTTCATCATTCTCTCTTTGCACGCGGGGTGTTCTGGGATGTACACTTTTTTACCACCCAGTCGATCCATCTAGAGTTCAGTACTCAGAGAAGTTGTCCATCCCCCCCAGAGAGTCTCTAAGAAGTACCTTTCGACTCTTGGCTCTTTTCGGATTTTACTTTTGTTCGTGGGCTCCTTCCTCTTGAACTTGCTTACAGGTGGATGCAGTGTCATGCTGTACTTCCAGCAAACACGCCCACACATAGCTGGAATCGCCGTTCGCTGGCATCATGGCGGCCCCCGACTCACACTCTAGGCGAGCACCCATCCCATGCAGAGTGGAGTCAGGATGTTGTGATCTACTGGTTTTGCACCAACTGATTTTCAGAAGCAAGTCACCAGGCCTTCCTTGCTAGTCTGTCCGGGTCTGAAAATGCCCCTAAAACCTGTTCAGCATCATGGCAATGTGCGGGCCTCCATGAATAGACAGTTGGTGGTTCCACTTGAGGGGCTTTGCCTGGAAATGGAACTTGGGTTTCCCACGTGACAGACTGGAAATCCTACCACAGCACCACCATTGCTCCCATAGAGGATGGGATTTTTCCAGGATGGTAGTTGAACTCAATTGGCAAGGGTTTTGTTTTGCTTTGTGTCTGAATAAGCAGATGCTACAATCTTTGTGTTTAAGGTACTGTCATTGGTTGGGGAGGCGAGATGAATACCCAGGAAAGAAATGGAAAGTAGGGCAAGCTGGAGCAAACTTGTCAATGTATGTGCAGTGTAAGTGTGACACGAAAAGAACGAAATTCGTGGGGTTTGGGTTTTTTGGGTTTTTTTTTTTTCAAATAAGTGGTGCCACTTGGAAAAAAATCTTTTGGCAAATAATACACTTGCTCAAAAGAACTCTAACAGCTCTTTTCTGGTATCGCCAATGAATAAGGGAAAAAAGGTGCATGACCTTATTAGTCTTCTGAGAAATGCACATTAAGATCATCCTGAGATAGCTTATATTCCTGCCAAAAGGCTAACTAGTGGTAGCAATACCAAGTATTGCAAGGATATGAAGCAACTGCAATTCCCATAATCTGATGCTCAGAAGATAATTTATATAAAAGATTTTCTCCATGTAATGGCATGTATAAAAGGTTTAAAGGCAAGCAGAACTAAATATGCTTGTTCCTCATTTATACACTAATTTCATTACCTGGCACTTTAAATCTACAGCAATCATAAGCAATCTGCTATCTCACTATTTTATGCATTCACGACTTACCTCCTTTAGTAAGTGATGCTGAGGTGTGAGGCAAGGGCAAAACTACCTGTGATGGTGAAGGCAGTGTGTCAACTTGGCTGTGCTGTGATACGCAGGAGTTTGGCAGTTATGTAATGAGGGTATCTGGCAGTGATGCAGCGATGTCCGCATTTGCGATTTTGTGATTCGTGGTCATCTTCCATTTCAGATAAAGCCAATTTTTGCATAACAACCTGGTCTTTGGAATTTAACCACGTCAATAAGTGAGGACTGAGAATACAAGTGTGGGAGGGAGTCATCCTTAGTAGTTAAAACTCTTTTTTAAAAAGCAAGAACATGAATTTAATAGGATTGAAATTGGGGGGTGGGCACCATGATTGAGGGACAGGAATATAGAGGTGACTTTTGGGGCTGGGAATGTTTTTTGTTGTTGTTGTTCTGTATGGATAATATGTTGTTCAGTTTATGACTACAACTGATTTTTCTTTCAGGATCTATATTGTATTTTAAAATAGGCAAATTCATTCATTTCCCAAATAATAATTGAGCACTTACTATGTGCCTGGCTCTTTGTGAAGTTCTGGAAATTGAGGGGTAAAGGGGATGCCCAGATCCATGTAGCTTATGTCTCAGAGGATTAGAACATGGGAGCTCAGGAGGGATGTGAACGGAGGAGCCCGTGATGATGATGATGATGATGATGATGATGATGGTGATGATGTTGGTGGTGGTGGTGGTGGTGATGATGATGATGGATGGTGATGGTGGTGGTGGTGGTGATGATGACGATGATGACGATGATGGATGATGATGATGATGATGATGATGATGATGATGATGTTGGTGGTTGTGGTGATGATGATGATGGGTGGTGATGATGATGATGATGATGATGATGATGTTGGTGGTGGTGGTGATGATGATGATGGATGGTGATGGTGATGATGGTGACAGTGGTACCCTAAGAACACCACTTGTTAGGACACTCGTGTGTCAGGCTCTGCTCTTCATAATGGACACCTATTAATATCCAATCCTCACAACAATCCTAGGAGGTAGATCTTACTGATATCTTCATTTTATAGATGAGGGCACAAAGAGAAGTGAAGCAGTTGGCTCAGCTTCTTACAGCCAGTCAGTGGTGAAGCCGGTATCAGACTCATGCTCTTCAGACTCCCTGACTTGACAGATGAGACACCAAGGCTCCTCTGGGGCCTTTCCTGTTTGCCCTCTGTCTCTCCATATTCGGTTCAGGGTGAATACCTCAGGACTCTCCCGGTTCATTAATCCTCCTTGAGTTTTAACTGATCTAAGGTTTGTCCTGGCAGTGTAGTGGTTAGGAATTGGGCTACAATCCACATGGTTGGCAGTTCAAACCCACCAGCAGCTCTGCAGGAGAAAGACTGGGCTTTCTACTCCCGTCAACGGTCGCAGTCTTTGAAACCTACAGGGGTCCCTCGGAGTCAGTGTGTGAGGGTTTGTCCTATTTCTGAAGATTTTTTTTGTTTTGTCTTCGTTTTTGTTTAACTTCGCATTTGATTCCCAAGATTTTAAACCGGCTTTTATTTGATCATTATCTCAACTGTATTTATCTTTATTGTTGCATACCTTTTTTAAAAAGTTATTTCTTTGTTCTCTTTAAGAATTCATTTAATTTTTTAGTATTGTTATTTTAATGTAGTCATTAATGTGCCCTATAAAATTATTTTAACCTGTAGACAATGCATTGTGTGGTCACCATTATTTAATGTCTGAGTTCACCTTTTCTTTCCTTTAGTATGTCTGCATTTCTACCTGCAGTTTTCTTTTGGTCGGGAGTCCTACGTCGTCTTGTTTTGCATTGTCATACATTTTGATTCCAGTTACTTTCGATTAGAGCAGGAACTCAAACCCTTAAGAAACAGTCTCAGTGCAATAACTTGGAATTTTACTGTTTTGGCAAGTTTGAATGGTTTTTCCCTCCCACTCTGAATACTATTTTTAATCACTGATCTTTAGCGGGTCTTT